TGGTAGTCGAGACCTTAAAATTACTAAAATCATTGACGTAATTTTTTAGTCATTTTGCTGACGATCCAAAAACGATTTAAGAGTGCCGTCTTTTTAAGGTCACAGATGTGACCTAAGTAATTTTCTTCTATTTAGCACTCAACAATTGCACCAAATCAATAATTCAAAGTCGATCATTTCATTCAGTCGTCAGCGAGGGCCCTCCGAAACAATTAAGTGTCTCTCCCGCCCCACTCGGAGTAATATTGAACAATTACGCCGCTAAACGCCCCAAGATTTCACCTCCCATGCGGACTTTGAATACAAGTTAGAAGTGGTAATTATATCTCTAGACAATTGTATGGATAATTGATATAAGTATTATTGCCTGATATAGCGAGAGGAATTTTGTTTCTGTACTTATAGAAATATTATATATATTTGTCTATATCTACTTATTCACTTTCAATATTCTGCACTGCATTTATTACGTTTCTGTTTTTCTTGTTTTTTTTTTAAGTGGTAAAAATGGAATGGTAACCTTACCTGCGTTTTTGGTATAGTACTTTGGCGGGGCACTACTGAAGGGGAAGATGAAAGCAGATCATGCTTTGGCTCATCGTGGCGAATTCAACAGTGATTAAACTCTTTGGTTTCCAAAGGAAACCAAATATAGGTCGTCCTGATGGTGTATATTGCTTGCGTTGAGCCTGTTAGACCCCATTCCTAATAATCCCTTCCCCCTGATTGGAAGAGAATGGTATAAAGTACAAAAATAAGTCTGCCTTTTTGTGCTATATTTTTTTATGTGTTTAATAAAGAATACGAGTAAATAAATAAAATATCTATAGATACAATGTATTTAAAAGCGTCAGTACTCAATTCTTTTTACTTATTTATGTTATTATTGAATTTTATTTTTCTAATTAAGCAAATCCCCAATCTGTTAACAGCTGATGCAGTTGTATACAAAATTCACTAAAAACCCACCGTTTATTAGTTAAACATGATTAAATTACAAAATAATGTCAAGGTTACAAATGTTCGCATTCTTAATATTTATAGGTATACATATTTATTAATATACTCGATTATTCTACCGAATAATAGGTACTATGTTTTCGTTGACAATTTCAGTAGTAAGAAAATATTGTATATTCTATCAAAACAACAGCCCAATAATAGTATATTTATTCAAGGAGCGTGCGTAGTACGTAGCGCTATTAGTAGAACCTAAACGCGGGCGCAAAAAGGGCCACGAAAACATCACAATTTGCGGGCCCCACAAAGGGAACATCTTTCTTAGGTACCGCAGTAAAAATCTGTTGCGGAAGTATCGCGCAGATGGAGATAGAGCTAACGAGCGAGGCTCGCGGCGAACGCTCTGATTTCCAATTCAAAGGAAAATTGCGATCCATAGTGGAAAGGGTGGGACTCAGGGAGGCTGGGTGGGGTGCCCCCCTACGCGTTGCTACGCGACGCGGGGAGGAGCCGCCGCAATCACTGCCCAATGGCACGACGGATATAAATTGCTCTTGCGACGCGACAGTGATGCCAGAACGGGAGGTTTGCGCCGCACTCGCTCGCACTAATGAAGTCGCCGGTCGCCGGTCCCCTTGATTGACGGACTCGCGGCCCTTTTTCGAAATGTTATACCTAAGTTCGGCTCTGGTGTGCTGTGATTTGTGAAGGTAATTACCTATTGGACTGCCGCGTTGGTGATAGACTTCTGCCTATATAAATAAGGTCTATTTCGTAACTTAAACTATAAAAATATGTTTGATTCTGAAACACACAAATTCATAAATTAAAATTCACTTTAGCTTATATTGAGTAGTACACAAATTATTAATAGATATCTAATTAAATTAGACAATTATTAACTCTTCTACTTGCTGTGCCCAACAGGGTCCATAATTGAAATGTTATCTACTAAGTATATTATGGAATGCAATAAAACATAAATAAATAAATAAGTATGTTTATTACCTTAATTTTAGGTGAAGTAACTATTATCTACATAAATGACATTTTTGTATGTACCTACCTAATTAAAATCCAAAGTAATTAATACTTTATTATTAAATTTTAAATGAGGCAATACCTAGATTGGCACTCGAAATGAATAATCGATTTGCGCAATTCCACCAACTCATTAACCAAATCTATGGAACCTCGACTATCTAATGCTATTTCATAAAGAATTCTTGCCTAAGCACAGATAGATATCAAATCCTCTAGAGAACGGGGTATGGATTTCAGCATGCACACGTGAGACTTCTACCTATATATGCATACATCGGTAGCCGCTGATTATCACGTTATATCTAATACGCTCTATTACCAATGGATTAAAAAAAAACCATTTATGATAGTCTACGTATTATATATTGATATTATATAACCGTATCTATTAGTTAGGTATTTTTCTAAATCTAAAAGAAAAATCAGGCACGTTTTCTTTATAGAAATTAATCATTTCTCCTATTCAGCGCTCACAAAGGAAACGAAGATTAAATTGAACCCGGCGAATGCCATTTGTAGACAATAGGAAACAAAAGCTTCTTGACAATAAAGCGCTTTATTAAATTCCGTTGGCGCTGCGCGAATCACGATACACATAAAGTTTTAATATACTAGAACGTTGGTGTCAGATAAGCTATAAATTTTTGTAAGTCCAGCGCTGGCCGCGCTTCGAATCCGTAATGCGGACTGGACCGCGCAGAGATTACGCAGACGTGTATTAATATGGGCGCACGTGGGCAACGGTCTTAACATTATAGGGCTGTCAACACATTCTGATAATAAATAACGGCCATTTATATTCTTTATTACTTTATAAACATTTTAACAAATAACAGATTTTTTCAATATAATTCGGGTAGGTATCTAACCATAAGCATTCAAATTGATTTAGAGTAATGGACTTTAAAGTATCTACAAAAATACGGATATTGATCCCAATATCTCTTAGCACGTAAACTATTTATTACCTTATGACAACCATCATACAATATCTATTTGTAAAATATTTAAGTATTACGATACTAACTATATTTTATTTCAAACAACAAATTTTTCCGTACCTATACCTATCTTTATATACCTACTTTATATTATTTTATTTACTATACATTATAATATCCTACTAATACAATCATTATCTAAAGATAGTTAATTTTAATTTACTATATTTATACTTAACTATTTATACTTTAAACTACTGAGAAACCTTAACGATATAATGACTTGAGAATGAAACTGTATGGAATATACCTATATGCCATAACAAATATTAATAAAATTAACCTTCTTTCAACATAATATAATTTTGACACAACCCTAAGTAATACGACACTGTCCTGATCTCCACACATCGTGAAGGTGCGGATCGATAGGTTGGTTGGGGCACGGATTATTTTAGCGCCACTTACATCAAAAACCAAGTTGGTTCGTCCCTGTCCATTTATAAACGTATTTCTGTATATAAACTTATCATGTTACTATATTTGAACTGATTTCGTATAATATTGTTTTACCTGTAAACTTAGATATTAAATCCTTTTCTCTTATAATAGTCAGAATTTTCATTGCAACCCTTTACTTTTCATTTACCTAAGTTAATTTAAGTTGAATAAGTTAAGTTAACCTTTCTTTGCATAATGGTGGAAATTTCCACCATACCATTAAATGCCCAAAAATTATATAAAAGAACAAGTTCACTTTAAGTTGATCGTGTCTGGATACCTTTTTAATGTCCAGTGTAGAAAAAAAAACATAGCTGTAAAATTTATTTTTTTAACTATTTTTTCTTTAATTTTGAACATGAATTATTGATTTATTTTTACCAATAAAAAAAATCATGCAAAGAAGGGTTAAAGTGTAGTTTTAGCTGGTGACCTCGTCAATTTAAGAAGTAGTATATATCATTCTGTGTGTCCCATGTGTACGTTATGTGGTCCCGGCATAGAATAGGCCACCCCTTTCTTTCTCGTGAATGTCATAAGAGGCGATTAAGGGAAGGTGAGGAATGGGCAGCAGCGTTCCTCTTAAAACGACTCTAAAGCCTAACTACGGTTGCCAATCAGCCTGCCAAACGTGGCAACAACTGGGAAACCCCCGAAGGTGGTTTATGTTCAGCAGTGGACAGTTAAAGGCTGATGTGATGATATATCCTTCCTCATTCCATACACTAAGTGTATTCTAAAATTCACAGTTATTCACTGAGCCGTTATTAAGCACTAAGAGATAATAAACTCATTTTCACATCTATAATATTCTTAGGTATTACTATTATGTATTCTGTAATTTTTTTTTTGATGTGTGAAAATGGTATGGTTACCCCGCCTGTGCTAACGGAATACGCTGGCGGAGCACCAGTGAAGGGCGATAGATGAGAATGAAAACAGGCCAGTTAGCCCATCATGATGAATTCATCAGGAATTAACCATGATAGTTTCCGGGACGAACCGCGAGGAGGTTGGGTTAGTCGACCTGGTTGGGTATATTGCTAGCAATGGGATTCTCAGTCTCCATTACTAACAATCCCTTTCCCCCCTATTCTGTAATATTAGTAAGAGTCTTAATAAATGCTCTTTTGAGGGCAAAGCAATTAACTGAGTTGTGACCATTTTATGTTACTATAGCACACGCATAAAAAAAAGGAAATTGTTGTTTTATATATTTTGGTTTTTTTTTGTTGTTTTTTGTTTTGTTTTACATTCTTTTATCTTTTTTACTGTGTATGTCTGTATTATGTGTATGTTTGTATTGTAATTTGTGTACTGTAAGTAATGCAAATAAATTATCTGTCTTTCTATCTATATATATACATACATACTGTTACGCCTATCTCTCTTTAGGGTAGACAGAAACAATAGAACATCAAAAGCTTCGATTCAAACAAGCCTCTTCATTAATATTACTTATATTCAAAATCTATATCTTTGGACACCAGAGGACGCCATTCTCACATGTCTCAAAGTAGTACCATACTCTAAGTTTACAACTATTGTTCGCAGGCGAGAAACCTCACAAATGCCAAGTATGCGGGAAGGCGTTCAGTCAGAGTTCGAACCTGATCACCCATTCGCGAAAGCATACAGGATTCAAGCCCTTCGCTTGTGAACTGTGCGGGCGAGCGTTTCAGAGAAAGGTGGACCTTCGAAGGCATAGGGAAACTCAGCATGCAGATCTCAGACCACCGCAGCATATGCAGCCTCCGCATACAGACGTGCATCCAATGCACGCGCCGGACTTACATGCTGTCTCAGAACACAGAATAGGTATGTTGGTATTCTAATAAAATAATTTAAGTTATGAGAATTCATTTTAGTCTTCTCCCTGAAAACCTTTTTTAGGTAGGTATTATAAATAATTAATATAAGGTCAGATTAATAATCGGAATATTAATCTACTGTTAATTAATAACTACTTAATATTACATTAATGATTAGAAATCACCTTTATTCAACTACAGTCTCTATTCCTTCTCCTTTAGAGTCACAATTCCTTAGTTTCCGTAAAATCAAAATTTAAATAAGTTACGAAAATTTATTTTAGTTTCTCATCCCCAAAACCTTTGGGGGTGAAGAGATCGCTTTAGTGTTAAGGTCATACTTTGTTTCCTCTGTGTGATCTACTTCCGGTATTTTTTTATTTAATTATTCTATTGCTAGTCTTGTTCTTCCTAGTTCGTATGCGTGGATTTCTAAAGTAGAAAATTCAATTAAATATATATAACCATTTCTAGATTGCATACTAAGATAAAACGTTGTACAAATTTTAAATTAGACCTTTAAGAATACAACTGTGAAATCCACATGCAATTTGGTGTGGTAGTTTTTGAGTGACGCCTGGATAAATATAGACAATTGCCAGAGGGAGACTTTGTACAAAAGTCGATTGCTTTGGTACCTCTGTCCCATTCGTGTTTCAACCGTGAAGCAGTTGTGTTTGCATGGCTGTGTTTCGGTTTGAAGGGTGGGATATGGCGTGAATTTACTGGGTACGGAGGAATAACATCTGAGTCCACAGGAATGACAACGCATGGGAGGTATCATGGGCGAAACAGTATACTCTGTTATGTCCATGGTACTGCTCATGTCTATAGGCGACGGTTACCACTTTCCATCAGGTGGGCCGTCAGCTTGTTTGCCATTCTAAGTTGTATAAAAAAAAAGACAAACAAATTTTCCCAAAAATCTTGTTTAATTATCTGTTAGTTTTGTTAATGTCTCTTATGTCATATCGTCCAGCTACATGTTTATTGTAACAGTAAAATAAGATACTTGTAAAATTTAAAATATTGTCATTGTAAAGTTCTGTATTCTAATTTCCTAATTAATATATTAAGGATTCAATTTCTGCATTTCAAACAACTAACCTCATTTTCTTTTCCACAGACCTCCGACCACCACACCCAGAGCTGCGACCACAGCACCCAGACTTCAGACCACACATGAGCACCGCAGTGCCACCTTTGCAACCCCTCCCCTCCTGAACCTCGACAGCCTTCGCGCCTGCCAACTGGCGCTGAGGCAACCAAAGTACCATTTTGATTTACCAACGTCAGAAGATATCAGAACAACTAATGGATATCAAATACTAATCTATGCCATATTATAACATCGTTTGCCTGATCTTCGAGCTAAGATACCCTGTATTATGAGGAACCAGGCACCGAACACCTGGAGGTACAACCAAGAACATCTCAAAGTGTTTTCTACTTCTGTAACTATTCGAATCTACTTCTGGCGTCTAGAATCAAATGTTTACAGTGTCATATCTTAGACCCATCTTCAATATCTGCTAGAACAATTACCAATTACAAAATGAATGGCAAATATGACCAAAAGAATAGAATATACTAAGAACTTAAAATCAAACTTACAATACAAATATTTAGCAAATTTGTAGTATAAACTGTAATAGATGCCAAATAAATACAGAAGTAGAAGTTATATGAACTCTCGAATCGGAAATCTAGCAACTGTATTGCACTGTCCCTAAATGTATCCCATTTAGCCTATCCTTAATATCCATTTTTCTACAAGAAGGACCTTAGAAAAGTGACCAACTGTGCTATAGAAATCACTTATTTTTGGTCCAAAAATATCTAGATTTACCAAAGACTCGACAGAAGGTGTGAAGCAATTGTTTTAATATTTTCATTATGGTTAATATATACTATAAGGAATGTGATGAATGTTAAACCATAGGATTTACCAAAGATTTTGTAAGGGAATAATATACTACCTGCATCTATGTTTACATACGCTTATCATCTGTCTGAGTGACCACATTTTACTTTAAGGATTAATAACCTCAGGGAATCATTGAAATAAGTATGAATTGAAAGTATCCAATGGGTTATAGCAGGTCCTAATGCTGCTATTGACTTATTTAAATTCAGAACTTGTTTCAGTGTTTGACTGAAGATTAACCTTCTCGTACAAAACTGTCACTTTTTTTATATCTATCTCAGGAGAAACCCTAAAAGGAATGAACTATTTATCGAAATTATTCAATAAACTAGATTTTTTTTATTATGCATCTAATTTCTAACCACTATAAGAGTGAATGACAAATATAGGTACCTTTTTCCAGACAGATGGTATTTAACTAGGTACACATAACAACAAAATCTAAGTACATTACCATTGCGAAATTATCTTAATGTTTAGGTAGGTTAAGAGTCACGTGAACGCTTTTACTTGTGAGTATTTTGATCTCATTATAAAATTGTAAAGTGACAGTTCTATGTTATGTGCTAAAAATTTCAGATGAATTTATAAAGTCCGCAATGGGGTCGATTCCGAAGCGCTAATTCTCGAAACTTGTTTGTTTGTATGTTGTTTGCTTGTATGTTTTAATTCAATATTTCATAGTTCAGCAGAATTACTGTTTTAAAGCCGTGTAGGTCCCGGAATAGAATAGGCCACCTCTTCCTTCTCTGTGGGTGCCCTAAGACTAAGCGAACTTAACGCTTGACGGATGAGGAGCAACGTCCCTCTTAAAACATCACTTAACTGCGATTGCCAACCCGCCTGCCAAGCGTGGTAATTACTGACAAAACTTCCCTTCTGAGTATGATGATTGTTTTATAGATGATTATAAACTAGATTTTTAAAAATTTTGACTTAAATAAACCTATTAAAAATTAAGTTTCCTTAGATATCAAATTGAAATTATAATTTCAAAGATACCTACATTTTGAGAAATGTCGCCTCAGAATCGACCCCAATGTAAAGAGTTTAGTGTAAGTACGAAGTACAGTCATGGAAAAAAAAATTGCACGAACATATTTTTCTTTTTGACGTTTACAATTGTAATTTTTTGCATCTATTGATGTTGTGTATAATATTAGTCAATCGTGTAACAAAGTCACAATTGAATTGTAAATAAATGGACTGATGGAATCATTCCAAAATTTTTAATTATGATTTCTTCTAGTACAAAGCTAAGGCCGTAATGGCTGTGCAGTTAAAAATTTAAATAATTCCAGAAATCATTCCTTGATGTCGCTGATTGTTTATTATGTTTAATTATGTTTATTATTTCATGTGTAATGGTAAATATGTTACCACAGACAATTTATTGTAATTATTAATATGTTATACTTAATGTAAAATTAATACTCACATATCATATTGGTATAGCACGTATACAGAATAAAAAAAATATTTACTTTTTAATTTCATTGTATTCTTGCATAGTGTATATATTAGCTTAAATTATATGTACAAAACTGTTGTCTATTTTTATGTATTCTAGTGCTGATACTTTGAAATATTTAAAGGCAATAGTTAATATCTTATACGGTATAAATTGTACTAAAAACAATGTGAAATCCTTCATGCCAAAGTGACATAGCAAATTAGTAAATTTGTAAATACATGATGAATACGTAAAATCACTAATTAGTGAACACAGAACACTTCTATTTTCTCACAGTCGGTTATTACTATTTTTTTTTAATATAAGAATTTTTTTTATGTTTCTTATTGTATAGTACTCGCTACTTTGTAATAAAAATATATAAAATATAAATTTATTTATCATATATTCTTCTTATACAAATTTTGGCTGAATTAATTAATAACATTTATTAGATATATTTTATTTGGACTTTTTCCACCGACTGTTCAATAGATGTATATATAAATAGATAGGCATATTTAATGTTTTTTAACCATTTCACGTCACAATCATATAAATACAGTACTATAATGTTAATTGTAAATAATGTATAAATTTAACTAGTTGTTTTAACGGACCCAAAGACAAACGTGCAATCCTATGTCATTATTTCGAGTTATATTATTATTATAATTGTCACTTCAATAAAATGATGATGTATAAAAAAAAAACCTGTTTTTTATTTCACTTTAATTAAAGTTCAATTCTTTACGCTACAGTATAGTAAAATTTATATTATTTAATTGATTTACCATGTGTTCCCGGCATAGAATAGGCCACCCTTTGTTTTCCCGTAAGTATCGTAAAAAGCCTAAAGGGTAAAGAACTAAAGAACTTATGGTCTAAGGATGGGTAGCAGTATCCTCCTTAAAAGATATTTTAATCTTTGATGATGACCAAATGCATAATTGCGGTTGCCAATCGTGGCAAATACTGGCAACCCAGGAGGAGTCTATGTTCAATAGTGGAAAATTAATGGCTGATATGGTATGGTAATTAATTAGAATTCTCTGAACCACAATATCACTAAAAGACATAAACATATGAAAATATTTGTATCGTAGCTCCTGCCTCGTGAATCAGTACCTAAACTATCCTATATGCTAAGTTAAGGTATAACCTACCTTTGTACTAAATTTCATGCAAGTCCATTCACTAGCTTTTGCGTAAAAAAGTAACAAATATCTTTCCATTCACAATTACAAACTTTCTCATTTATTATATTGATAGGATATATTAGATATTAGGTTATAACCTAAAAAGCATGTTTTTTTTATACCACAAAGGTGGTAAACAAGCATACAGTTATATATATTATTATATATATTATTATTATATATAGTTATATATATTAGTTATGCATATTGATAAACAGTTACGATAGCCTATGGACGCCTGCAACACTAAGGGTGACACTTGTGCGATGCCAATCCTAAAGAATCCTATAGAATCCAAGTATTATAATATATAGGACATGAACAAAACTGTTGACTTCATAGCTCAAATATTATATATATACTATATCACATAGCATCCTGAAGACTAAAATGTTTTACTTCTATACCCTGCAATTTGATTGCCATATATGGATATAAGCGGTTTGAAGTTTAAGCTCTTAAAACCGCGGTACAGCGGACAGCGGTACCCAAGCAATCGACTTCTGTACCTATATGAAAGATATTTAAGAAAAATTGATATGAAATTTTCCATGAAATCAACGTAAAATTTCGATTTGTAGCGTGAATTTACTGGGTACAGAGGAATAACACCTGAGTCCTCAGGAATGGCAACGCATGGGCGGTATCATGGGCGAAGCAGTATACTCTGTTATGTCCATGGTACCGTTCATGTCTATAGGCGACGGTTACCACTTTCCATCAGGTGGGCCGTCAGCTTGTTTGCCATTCTAAGTTGTATGAATAAAAAAGCAGACGTCGTTTAATTACCTTTTTATTATATTAATAGGATTTACAAACTCATTTAAATTGTCACTTTTGTTTGATTACACCAGTGGGTTTAAAATATGGATTTTCGGTATCTGCTGACGGAATTGAATTGTGTAAGTACCTAATACACATTCTGTAAGAAAATTCAAATAGACACTCGATATCATAAGTGGGTTGAGAGAAAATAAAAATTAACAAAATCAACATTATGTAAATAAATTGTGAAACAACCCTGATATTAATACCGTCTCGCCATTAAGATGAGGGGCTAATTTAAGATCCGCTGAGCCATATCTCAAGTTACATCGTCGAGTACAATAAATATAATATTACCAATAAATTACTTGTAGGAAGAGACACTGATGTCTCCAGAACTGATTAATATAATATAAAAAAAAATGATTATCCTATAATGTGTGTATTTACATATGTAGGTGTATACATTTACTTTTTATTGTATTACATGTTTAATTTAAGGCCAGCAGCACACCTGCAATGCCGTAGGTGTTGTGGGTGACCATGGGCGGCGGTAGTCAGTTACCATCAGGTGAGCTGCATGCTCGTTTACCCATGTGTTGTAAAAAAAATTTTAGCTAGATATCATTGAGTTTATCTTTGTCTGTACGATTTTTACCCTTGAACGTTATATAGTTTTCTTTTAGCTTCTCAAAGGTTGACTGTAAGAGATCCCTTTATTTAATAAGTCCGCCATTGTATATTAAATCTTTTAATTTATCCAATTTAAATTATGTACAATAAACATTTTACAACAACAACAAGAATTATGTATGACAAAGTAGATTTTTAAAAAGTTCAACTGTACCATAAACCAATCCAATTAACCGATACTGATTGCAATCCATCGGCGATGTTTGTCTATGCTTTGTGAGTGCTCAATGTTTGCAATGTTATGATCGATTGCTCATTAACTTAATTGTTTATCAATTTTAATCCATTCTAGGGATAGTAAACAAGTCTGTTTGACTACGGCTTGAGTTATTACACTTATTTTTTTTTACATTATCATTATATCAGCCTTTAACTGTCCAGAGGTTTTACCAGTAGTTGCCATGCTTGGCAGGCGGGTAGACAAATGCAGAATATGCTTTGGTGACTTCAAAAAGAAGGACGTTCTCAGTTCGGTTCTATTTTTGTATGTTTGTTACCTCATAACTCCGTCAGTTGTAAACAGATTTGAAAAATGCATTTTTTTTTTGTCAAAAAGTACTACAGATTGGTCTTATAGAAATTTTATCAATATAGATTTATTACTTTAGTTTTTCAATCAAAATAACTGGCTTTATTATAAATTAAGACTTTTTTTATTGTGAAATAAAATATTGAAACTACTCAATGATATTTTGAACCAGTATCCGCAATTGGATGTATTTGCCTCCAACTTGCTGGAGTTTCGTCAAGTGACCACAGAGTATTTGTGTTCAGACGTTTTTTGTTTGAGTAAAATCTTTTTATATCTATTATTTTTGTTATTTTTGTGTAATATTCATTTTTATATGTTATTGTACTCATGCTTTCCTAGATGAGCGTATTGAAAGACTGTAAGTGGATGTAATAAATAAATAAATTATTTTATATATATATATATATATATATATATATATATATATATATATATATATATATATATATATATATATATAGATATATTCAGAATCTTTGTGTGTGATGCAATATGAATTATTCAGAAAGGCAAACAAACCTTTGGTCAATTTGATTACAAACGTACCTACATATAATAGTATAAAAAAGAAAACATTGTTAGATTTAGAAATAAAGCGGGAAGGAGCCAACAAACTGGTCTGTCTCGAGGGGTCGAGTGGACGCTAAACGCCTGTTAGCACGCAGTAGATACAGGGACGCACCGGGGATCTCTGCTATTGTTCTCGACCAGGGGCGGATTTAGAAGTATAACTATTTTATATTTATTTTCTTATAAACTAAACTCCTTTAAAATACGCAAATTTAATATATATGCAAATACGTTCTCTGCTAATCCACCGTTGCACTAAACAGAGAACAATATAATTTAAGAATGTGTTTCACAAAAAAAAACCAACTTCAGTCGTGTCAAAACAAAAAATATTTTGATTTAAAAACTAAACTGTGAAACCGATTTTGATAAAATGTTAGACCAATCTACAGGTATATTTTTATTGGTACCTTTCAAATCTGAAAATTTTCGGAGTTAATACGAACAGCATTTTCAGGTAACAAACCTAAAAAAATACAACCGAACTGAGATCTTCGATGTTTTTGAAATCGGTTGAAAAAATTCAATGCATGTTATTGAACTCAGTGTTAAATATAATAATTAATAAATATTTTTATATCTATGTACGAAAATAACTAGTTATATTTATTAAAATATTTTATTATAATACTGTCTCGAAAAGTATTTAGTATCTAATATCAATTATTTTTGTGCTATTGTGATGTTACATTGGATTAAAATTTTGCAATATTATTTCTATGAGTCATGAGAGAATTTTGTAAGAATTAGAATTTGGAAAACAAAATATAAATTATTTTTGTACTATTGATGATTAAAATTTTGCAATATATATTTCTATGAAATATTCTGTATTATGTATCCTTGTGTCTTTTCTTGTAGATTTGAACTTATCTAACCTGAACCAAAGGAATTGTTAGTAATGGGGTATTACAGTATCATTGCTAGAAATATATCCTATCAGATCGATCTCCATGCGATTCCCCTGGATTTTGGAAAACAAAAAAAATACCTAACCTCTAAAATTCTTTAAGAAACAATGATATGCATTTTTTATACAAAACGGCCAGCGTATACTAATAAACTTGGTTACCATTTGCCTGGAAACCATCGTAGTTAATTCCTAATGCATTTGTCACGATGGACTGACTTAATTTTATTCTCACTGGAAATAATTTTGCATCACTCTGCGTGTTCTACCGCTTGTACAACGGATTGTGTTCAGAGGAGTTTTTATGAAATGTTTCCTCCCAACGAACACTCAGGTTGTGGAATGAGCTCCCTACCGAGGTTTTCCCAAGAGACTACAGCATGAGGTTCTTCAAAAGGGGAGTAAAGAGATTTTTTTAGGATCGGCAACGCACGCGTAATACCTCTGGTATTGCAGGTGTTCATAAGCTACGGTAACCACTTACCATCAGGTGGGTCGTATGCTTGTTTGCCACCTCAGTGGTATAAAAAAAAGTAAACGTAAATAGGGTAGATAAAGTTATCATTTCTATTCATAAAAGAATATATCTACCCACATAAGGCGGTGTGATGGGCCGGGTCGTTTAGTTCCCTTAAATATGGTGGAGCTCAATGATGGATGATCCATCCTTCGTTCGCGCAAACGGGCGCTCCTTGTGTTGTTAATTAAGTACAAAAGTCGATTGCTTGGGTACCTCTGTCCCATTCGTGTTTCAACCGTGAAGCAGTTGTGTTCGCATGGCTGTGTTTCGGTTTGAAGGGTGGGATATGGCGTAAATTTACAGGGTACAGAGGAATAATACCTGAGTCCTCAGGAATGGCAACGCATGGGGTGTATCATGGGCGAAACAGTATACTCTGTTATGTCCATGGTACTGCTCATGTCTATAGCGACGGTTACCACTTTCCATCAGGTGGGCCGTCAGCTTGTTTGTCATTCTAAGTTGTATAAAAAAAATACATATAAATATAACTTAATACTAATTTTAGTCACA